CCCAGCCACTGAAGCAGGCCCAGCCAGGCTGACACACAAACATAATTACCACAGCAGCCAAGCACATTAATTGTGTGCACCACCCAGGGACTCTAGTTCCTATATAAACTCATTGCCATCAACTCAATTCTGACTCTCAGCAACCATTTTAGGACAGAATAGAACTGCCCCCATAGGATTTCCAAAGCTGTAAGTCTTTACAGAAGCAGACTGTCTCTGCTTTCTCCTGCAGAACAGCTGGTGGATTCAAACCATGGACCTTTGGTTAGCAGCCCACTGCTTTAACCACAGCACTACCAGAGCTCCTAGTCCCATAACCCAAAAAATACCCACTGCCATCGAGTCATTTCCAACTCATAGCAACCCATTGGGTTTGCAAGGCTGTAAATCTTCATGGAAGTAGATTGCCTCATCTTCCTCCCATGGAGCAGCTGGTGAGTTTGAACCACTAACCTTCTGCTTAGCGTCAAATACCTTACCCACTATGCCACCAGAGCTTCTTTAGTCCCTACATGGAACTATAGAAATTACTTGAAAGTTCCCAATAATGCCTATAGTGAGTAGCATCCTTCCTCTTTCTCTTTTCAACCAAGAACTAGAGAAAATAGTTTTCTGTTATTTTTCCAAAAATAATTATCTTGAGAATTTTGATCTGTTTTTAGCTCTGATGACAGCTGTAGTTGGTGACAACCTCCTTTCTTCTGCCAAAGACTCATTCTTTGCCTTGATCTTCTTGACCTTACCTTTGGTCTTGACAGGGCTTGTCAATTATACCTTTTATTCAGCAAGCCAGATTTTTTAATCCCTCCATCTAGCCGGGGTTTGACGTCACCCTATCCCACCCCACCTCCTCACCCCTAGTTAGTATTATTAGGCCTCTTAGATTCTCTTTCATACACCAAGATCCACCTTCAACATGAAAGTTCAGTGATTGGTCTTCTCTCTTGAGAAATCCATGGTCTCAGTCCAAATCTTGTCATTGTCTGCTGGTTCTTTCCTTCCAACTTTTCCCTTAACTTTAAGATAAGGACGTTTGGTGCTTTAGACTATCTACCCTTCACCCTTCTTCTCTCCTTGTGTGCTTTCTAACCTTCTAAAGGGTCACTCACCTTTTGTTCCTAGGTGATTTTTCTCCTCATATCTATCCCTCCATTCACTATATCCCTGATTCACCTATCTTCTAAAAGGATAACCCCTTCAAACACTCAGGTGATTGTTATTTAATCACTCTTTGTTTTCTGTGTTTTATCTCTGGATTTACTCAAGTCTTTTCTGTGTTTTCTCTTTTCATTGTGTGCAAATGCTCCTGTGGGAGTTGGCCCAGGCCTTCTGATGTAACCTGCCACCTAGCTCACATCTTCCCTTGCCTGCCTTTGTTCTGCTTATATTTTACTCTTATACATAAAACATATCCAAGATTTAACTTATTTTAACTCTAAAACAATTTTTAATGCACAAAATGAGAAAAACCTTTTCAATACACTTACCAATTAATTAATAATTGATAATTATTATTAATTACTGAATAATTTGGTTCTCCTCTATATTATTCTTGCATTTCTCCATTTCCATTTCTGTATATTTATCACAAACATGTCTCCTTTTTCTGCATTATTTTCATATGCACTAGGTTTCTTTCATGTATTAAAATATTTTCCCACACTATGGTTGCTACCATGTGATAATCAATTTTCTTCTTGTGCCACAGCTGTTTAATTTCCTCTCTAGAATTTTTGTTTTAAATTTTAAAAATCAGTTATTTAACTGACTAAAGAATTTTAATACAATAAATGGAATTAAATTGGCATGTGACATGCTTTCAACATATTTTTATAACCAACTCAAATCAAAGAAAAAAGATAAATTTATATTTGGTAACCTAAAAACCGAGAATTTTTATTTTGGGGAAAAAAATTCTATTTTGCTTGGGTCTTTCTAGTGTTACCCCAGTTTTTCTTATTCCTGAACCCACTATATCTGTGCATTATGCTGTAGCACCCTCTTTTCTTTTTTACAGCTGAGGATTCTAGAATAGGAGCTAAGAGCTCTTTGGTTTGACATACACTCTTTAAAAACACTCTTACCTTAATTTCTTTGAAATGGTTAAGATTCATTTGCAATGACATTGCCTTTAATTATTTGTTCATTATAGTTTTATACAGTGCTCAGATTATAGGTTTCTTGAAGTTATATAAGAGCTCTGTTGGCCTAGTGCCTAAGGCACTTGACTGCTAACCAGAAGGCTGATGATTCAAACCCACCAGCCACTCCCCAGAAGAAAGATTGGGCGATCTACTTCTGTAGTGATACTGCCTCGGAAACCCAAGTTATATGACTAAGAAACAGTTACTTTTTCATTTTGAGCCTGGCATTATTCCACCATAATGTATTTGACTTATGCCATGCCTGTTTTGGTCAATAAGGCCAATGGATTTTATTGTTGAGCCAAAGCAACGTAATCTTATTTAATGGAAATTTGTAAGATGATCTCTATTTTATAATGATCACCAAAATAAATTTATTCTAAAATTGCATGAAAACAACTATAATCATGCATTTCTTCAGGCTTGCTACATCAAAGTCTCAATTCATTCATTTTTTTTGTACAGTGGTAGCCAACCCTCTTAAAATTTCCTAGATATGAACAAAGGTTAATCTTTTCAAGCATCACTGAGTTAAGAATTTCTACAAAAATCTCATTCACTATTGAAACCCACAGGAATTATGAAGATTCAGAGGTTAAAATTAGTTATTTAACATTTAGATGATATATTAGAAATTTTCTTTGCAGCAATGATTTTTTAAAAACCTTCTGTAATTACTTCTTTATATCTTTTTTCTGTAATGTTTTCAAATTGTTATTAGGCCAGTTTAAGGATTTTTTATCACTTATGTGTAACAATTCAGCTGAATACTTTTTCAATATTTCTATAAATAAAATGAAAGTAAAATTGCATCACTTCTGTATTTTCTCTGAATATGCATTGGTGGTTACATTACTGTGTAAAGTTGCATGTAATAGACGTAGTATGCCCTAGAGATAGTGGTGCTTGGAAATTTTCATGTTCTCCCACTAATTGTTTATATGTGTAATTACATTTCATGTTGGTTTTGTATTTGCATTCACACTGTGTTTTTGCATTCACTCTGTGTTTTTGGTGTTAAAATGTTTATTTCATTTTCCAGATTACTCCTTTCACGGTTCAGTTTCTGAATGACAAAGAGACTCATAAGTATTGACTTCCCCAAACTTAACAACCAAAACAGAGAGCCTCTGCTCCCTGGGACATTTTATAATTAGAATACTTAATGCTCTTGCCATGAGACGGCATACGGATAGCCCCTCCATAGCTGTTTCCCCCGAAGACTAAGGACATACTAGCTCTTTTATTTGAATAAATTATTTAGTAAAATATGGTAAAAACAGTACAGGATGTATTGATCCCCAGAACTGAAACATGAATCCAAATCTAATAATCCTAGAAACTGGAAAACAGATTTTTAAGAAAGCCATCAAGTTGGACATCTAGGTGTTTCTTTCCCCATTTTAGATGGAGATGTAACAGTTAACTTTGAAAATTCAAACGGGCACATGATACCCATCGGAGAGGAACCCACCAGAGAGGAAAATGTAGCAAAACCCGAAGAAGGTAATGGCCCTGTTTCTGAAAAAGCACCACCTCTGGAAGAAAACGCAGAAGATAAGAAAGGTAAAACAAAGAGCCAACCCCATGGATTTGTCTTTGAATCAGCTCACGGTTGAGAACCAGTTCCAGACTCTAATCAGTGGCTCTAAAACCTGTAGAGTCTGTAGAGAACAGGTTCACAGGTTCAAGGAAGACAGAAGTGATAACTAGTGAGCAGAAATATGACTGCTTCAGGTAGATCCATCCCTTTTATAAGCACATGATATAATTTCTTATTGGAGTTCATAAAAAAGGAACAATCAGAGAGGTGACCTATTCAGTCATCAGAAATATCTGGGAATATTATCCTTTCCTCAGGAGCCCTTTCTCATGATGTTAAAACAAAAAGGCCAGAAAACTGAATATCTTTCTCTGCTGATTAGATCTAGCTCCTGTGTGTAGTTAGCATGGAGGAATATCAGAACCCAGAGGCTGTCTCAGGACAGCACCTCCCATCCAATACTGGGAACGTGGCTGATGGCATCTACACAGTCAACATTGTAGATACTAGTCCAGGTTCTAGACTTTTCTGAGGGAGACTCAGGAAGACTTCCTGAGATGCTGGGCACTTTGGTCTCTGTCCTTGGTTAGTTGCTGCTGCCTCTGCACCATGGTTCTTCTGTGCAAGTGAGAATTCGAAACACATGGCAGTGGTGTTTATGCCATTCCCTATAGGCATCCTTAGAGGCTTTGGTTTCTAAATTGAGTATGCCATGTTAAATTGAGAAACCTACAAAATAAATGTATACCAAGGACCCCACAGCAACAAATTACTGGTCACCAATGGATTAAATCCCAATCTTGCTGCTGCTACATGCAGGAACCTCCAAGGCTCTAGCTTATGCAAGCCTGAACAGAAATTCCCACTGGGTTAGTTTAGACTTTGTTGGGGGATTCTAGATGACTCCTTGCAGTGTAGAAATGGATCCTCAGGAAATAGACTATCTCCTGTCCTATGATTTCCACAGCCTTTGAGTTGGTTGACACAGTTTGCTCAACCTAGTTTGAGTTCTACAGGCATGTTGAGAACTCTTATAAACCACTGAAAACAAATGGCTTTTCCTCTGTTCTAGGGCCAAATCATCAAAGATAAAGAGGACAATGTGCATTTGATGACCCTATTAAACAGACATTGTCATTTAAAACCATTTTCCCTGGAAGCCCATAACTATTTACTTGAATATAAAATAGCCCTTAAAATGTTTGAAACCCCTGTTAATAAGCTGTTGGAAATGTATTAATTTGCTTTTTTCAAATATTAATATTTACGGGGCCTCACTATTTAGCCTTGGTCCATTTAGGTAATCTGGTTATGCTTATGAACACTGATTATGAGAAAGTAACTATTCTAATGATATTATTCCTAGAACATAAGGAGAAAGTAAAATTTAGGTAGATTTTAAGGGGATTCAGTAGAAAATATAAATGCGATTAGCGATTCTTTTCTTTAAGTACAACTGTCCTATGTCACCCAACTGTTTGATTTCAAGTCCATCTGTGGTGTGTCCCTGCTGCAGCCTTTTCGCATCCAGGAATCACATCCTTCATTATGTAAGAGTCATCCTCAGTGCTTGCCTGCTCAGTGTGGGGCATCAGTCAATGGTCTGGCCAGACTTCAAAGGAAGAGGGGCCCTTATCAGCCTAATAGAAAGTCGCTGACAGTTTTATGTTAATGAAATCATCTAGGCCTTGGTGTTCTGAAGAGAAGATAGCAGACCTAATAGGGCCATGGATATTGAGAGGCATTTTTGTTTTCTTATTTTTCACCTAGAATGATTACATTCAGTTTACTTTGGTCAAATCACATCCAAGATAGTATCTTACTTGGCTAGTGTGTACGTAGGAAATGGAAATATTGGCATGCCACAGCAATGCTGCGGCATAGTCACACTCATGTTGTGCAGACAGAAAGCCACATTGATAGTGAGGAGAAGCATGTGGAATCTACTTCCTGAGTAAAAAGAATGTTACTCATAATAAATATCGCAGTATTTTGTTAAGAAAAGAATACTTTATAAACAAAAGCAACAAATCATTTCTCTGGAAAGACATCATTTAATTCTGAAAACAAGCTTAAGATTCACTTTACTTCTGCTGCTTTCCTGGTTTCATCCCCTGTGTGGGCTCATTACAATGAAAAGCCACCATCCCATGGCAGAGAGAACAACCCATGCAGTTCTAAGTCTTTCTTTAAATATTATTGAACTAACCCCTTCATGTGGTCAAAGGAGCTAAACCTGGAAGTGCAGTAAACATCTGTCCTCTAATCTGTATTATTATGAAACACAGTATCCTTATCGAGCCAGAATGAATAGGCAGCTCTTCTTAACCTCCTCTTGAAAAGATAATATACCCACTCCTCTCTTATCAGCCCGGTTAAGTTCCAAAGACCAGACTGATAGGCAAAAATCAGTGTTACATGAAAATGGAGGATGATCACATCAATATATAACTGCCAAATTACATCATTACATAACTGCCAAAGTACGTCATATGTAGTTACCAAACCACTGAGAATCATGGCCCAGCCAAGGTGACCCATAACCATAACCATCACAGCCAGTGTTACTCTCACCTCACACCTCTGTGTTCGTTACTGCCAAACGTATGTTTCTAATGAAGACAATACTTGCATGGCAGATTTTTCACTATTGTCATAAGTTTGAAATGTCAGATAACGAGATAGTCAAAAAATGAGGAATAGGTGTACCCCTCTACACTATCCGTTTCTATTGTGTCTTCATATCATACAGCAATAATAACAAAATAGAACTTGACTTAATTTAGTACCTTCCAGACATGAGAGTTGTTTTCTGCTGAGTTGTGTGACAATAACTAACAGCCAGTCAAGTCATATTCATTGAATAGCTTTACTGTTCAGAGCATTGTATCTGATGAGATGTAAACTTTCAGAAAAAAAGGAGTTTATAATCCAGTCAGAATTCACCCTGTGTGTATGTACCTACACACACATACATACAAACACACACCCTTAGAGATCACCACAAAGTAAACTAACATTGGCAATAAGTCAAACACTCCAAGGATGATTGGTAGAAAAGGCAGAGTAAGGCGCGTCCAGCCATCTCCAAGGCAGGAATAGAGTTTTCACTCAGTGTGTTCATTCTCTGCTCAGCAGTCATCCTGTCATAGAGAAAACTGTCTCCTTCTGCTCAGACACAGAAGCCAGAGTTTTAGGAGATATTACTTTATAATTTAAAATCTTAGGCAGAAAGAGAGAAGATCCCTTTGTGATATGTATCGAGGAGAAAGGATAAGGTATGTGTGTGAGGTTTATGAACAAGAACTGGGATGCCCAAATGTTGCCATTCAAGTTGATTGATTGGCTCTTGCCATGGACATGTGTTATTGCACTTGATCTCCGTGCACAGTAGTGTGTTAGGGGCTAAAGGTACATAGATGCACGCAGATAACTCAACCCTGCCTCAAAAGATTGGCACATCAACGTATGTTTATAAGCTTTACATCCGATGTTTTAGCTGTATGTAAATTTGTCTCATTCTCAACTCTAACTGATTTCTGTGATTAATTTGCTTCTAGTTCAGACTAGAAGAGTCAGGAATGCCACCACTATATTATATATGATAAGCAGCTTAGTTTGGGAGATGCCATGAATAAATAGACAAAACCAGAAAGTAGCCTTTGTAAATGTCACATAAGTGGCACAGTCCGTAAGTACTAACAAGTTCAGAGGTGGGACAGTTCCGTTGGGCTGCAGTGATTGGGGGAGGATTCATGATTGAGGTGGAATAAAAGATAAACTTTACAGGAAAAGTTTAGTGATCCAATCATTATACGATAGTTTTATATGTGGCTTGGTAAAAAGGAAAAGCTCTCACTTCACACTCGCTAACATCAGAAACAAAAAATACTGTGGAACCTATGAGAGCCAGAACTTGGTGGGACTGCTTTGTTTTTCCAGGTCTCACAAGTTTTCCACCTTTGACAGGGTGCAATCTTACCACTTTTCTGTCAGTCATTTTAGTGGAAAATATTTGCATTTTCCTTCTCTGGCAGGTTTCCACCTTACACAGGTCCTGGTTTTTGCAGGTTTTACTGTAATAGTAAAATGTGATCCATTCCAGTGTTAAAATTCTTGCGTGGGACATTCAGTCACGGGAGGACACATCCCGTAAGGGCTTATTGTTGTCTTGACACTGTCTTATGTTTTCTACTGTGCTCCATTTTTAAAGAAATGCTGCTTAGCTCTTTGGACCAGAATAGTATTTTGATTTATTTAATTGTAACCAGTCAATATTAGAAAAAATCAAAAGTGAAAATGTGCATGAACTGAAGCATGTCCACTTTCAGCAGCGAGCTACTCACAGTTTTCTTCCACTTGTGCACAACCTTGTGAAGGGCTTCTGCTCTTAGGTATGATTGTTTGGGTATGAACTTTGACCTTTGTATTTTTCAAAATCGTTGTTTGTGCTTACATTACAAAACAAATTTAATGTTTGTTTTGGATTCTGAGCCCTCTATGACTATGGTTATGACACTATTTGAAAAGGTCCAAAGAAGTTATACTTCCACGGAAGCCACCCTACTACCCTAGCAGATCTTGAGAACATTTTAATAGTAGAAAATAGTTCATTCTTCAGTGCCTTGCGCCTCATGTAAAAGATTCTACAGCATCTCCCTTAACTTAGAAAGGAATTGAATCTGACCACATGAGACTGAAGGCAAATCCCTTTCAGGCAGACTGGGCCCGAGTCCCCCCAAGAGAATGGAAGTCTCTTGGGGAAAGGTAGGCAGGTAATTGTAAGAGTGAGTCCAGTCATTGCTGCCCCTGTCCATCCTTCTCCCCCATCAGTGTGGTCTTCTGTCTCAGAGGCCTTGCCATTTTGGCATTAGCATTTGTTCAGTTTAAATTTAGCACACATGCCCAAGTGACCACACAGCAGCCATAGATTCCAGACTAATTTGTGGGCATTCACAATCATCCTCAACATAACTTCTGTAGCCCTGTTGGTCGGAGTACTTGGAACACACCGCATTTGGCTTTCAGCCTTTGTTTTCACCTCAAACTTTCTCTCTTGGGTACAGAACTCCATGCTGGTTCCCAAGGGCCAAGCAGCTGCATGTTTGTATCACTGTTGCCATGTGTCTTGCTCTTCGTATTTATATGGTGTGTGTCTGTATCAGTCTGCTTCTGTTCACTTTCTCATTTGTAGAGAACACTGAAAACCACTCTGAAACACCGGCAGCTCCTGCTCCACCTCCTCCAGCTCCTCCTAAGCCTAAACCCAAATCCAAACCCAAAAAAACACCTGTGCCTCCAAAGGGGGCCACTGCGGGGGTGAGCCACAAGGGTGATGAAGTGCCTCCCATTAAAAAAAATACCAAGGCTCCTGGTAAGCAGACCCCCGTCCCTCCACCCAAGCCAACAAGCCGAAACGCAACCAAAGAGGCAGGTGAGTATGGCCCCAGTGCACTGCGGGGTTAAGTTCAGAATACTTAGCTCTGGGATGGGCTAACTCTTTCTTCCAGGAGTGACAGCCTTTTAGTGTCTCCGTTGCAGTCTCTGCCATTGAAAAGTCAACTACTTGATTTGTTAACCTCATTCATTTTGGGAGAGAATATACTATATCTTAAGACACCCTAGAGGTGCAACAGTTAACTGCTTAGCTGCTAACCAAAAAGGCAGTGTTTCGAACCCACCAGCCTCTCCATGGGAGAAAGATGTAGCAGTCTGCTTCTGTAATGGAATGGAAACCATGCAGAAAAGTTGTACTCTATCCCATAGGGTCACTGTGAATCAGCTCAACAGCAATAGATATAATATAGCTTGAATATCCACCATTTGCATTTGAGGCTCAGTAGACGGTTACAAGGAACATTAATCCTTGCCTAATGAATCGCAGTGATCTGATAGGACTTTATTTAGATATTGATTGACTTCTGCCTTTTGGAGTTTAAGAGTGGCTCTTTGGCTCAGGTTTTCTTTACAATTATCTTAGGTTTGCACATAACAAAATGACACTGTGTGGTGTAAATGGTTAAGTACTCAACTACTAGCTCAAGGTTGGCAGTTCAAAATCACCCAGAGACACCTTGGAAGACAGACCTGGTGATCTGCTTCCAAATTGTCACAGCCTTGAAAGCTCTGTGGAGCAGTGCCGCTCTGCACACGTGGCCGCTGTGAATCAGAATCACCTCTACAGCAACTACCAACAACAACATCTTTGACATACTTGCTTTATCTCATGCCTTAAATCTTTCTGTGTACATAGTCCTATCTCTGCTGATAAATGACAGAGGGTTCATACCAACCACTTGGTTCACCTGCAGCGGGGTTTGATAACTCAGTTCCAACCTACCGCTTTCTGCTACAGTCAAAAGTTTCTCAGTGGAGCTGAAAGTTACCTGCTAAATGCACTCTTTCCCCTGATAGACTTGAGTTTGTTTTAAGGAAACACATCCTAGTGGTGCAGCTACAAATCGCTATTACGAATCACCAGTGATCGTACTGGTGGCCTACAGTAATTCAGGTAATGTCAATGCAGCTTTCCTTTCAATTCAGTGATGCCTAATGCAAAGTGGAACCACACTATCTTGTGAAGTGAAATAAAAATACCTCCCATGTCATCCAGCTTTTAAAAGAGCATTAAGCAAAGTACACATGCTGAGTGACTTTTTTCCACTAACGTACGCATAAAAATTCTCCTGTGCTATAGCAAATCTTATTTTCCTTAAAATCAGCAGAAACTTTCTAACAATTAGCTACCAGGATTTGCCTTGGTATTGATCTTTTTCCCCCCTCGAAATTTATACCCATACTCAAATGCAGAGAATGGCTTCCAAACTAAACCAAACCCATTCCCATCAAGTTGATACTGACCCATAGTGATTTATAGGACAGAGTACAACTGCCCCATACAGTTTACAAGGCTGTAAGTCTTTATGGAAGCAGACTGCCTCCTCTTTCTCCCACAGAGCAGCTGTTGGCTTTGAACCACTGACCTTGTGATCATCAGCTGCATGCTTTAATCACTATGCCACCAGAGCTCCTAGAGAATGGCTTAGGTGACAGTATAACACATCTTGATGTGCAAATACCCATTTCTCACCCTGTGTTTTCCTCTTCCTGCCCTTGACCTTTAGCATCTAATAAGCTAATAAGCTCTTCTAATAAGCTCTAAAATGAAATGTCTCAGAATGATGTGCCAACAATGCCAAAGGACTGTATCCTCAGGGACCAGCTGCCCTGACATGTCACGTCCATTCTTGTTGGTATCTGTGTGTGCTTCCCACACTGCCTAGAAAACCCCATAAGCCCTCAAAGTGAGGCAGGGACTGATCCACTTCTTAGAGAAAAGCCCCCAAACGATTGCCCTGTCTTTGGGAATGGAGACTCTGCCTTGCACACACTGTCCCACTTCCTCATCCCCCACATGGCCATGGTTCACTGTTGATGCCGAGCTTGAGCTCTTGCTTACTGCCTTCAGAAGAAAGCTAATGCCAGGGCAACTTTCATGAGAGATTTTGAGTTATTTCCAGATAATCAACTTGAAGGTTTATTTATAGGCTCATGAAGTTCCTAAGAAAATTGTTCAGTCATTTTATTCATTGTCTTAAAAGAGGCCTGACTGGCCCTTAAATGTAAATAAAAATGTGGTCATTCTAGGCACTACCACAGAGAAACTAATTGCACTGATATCCATTGTGCAAGGGTCCTGTAATCAAACACTGATAATACTTCTTGAGAATCCTATAGCTGTTCCATTGGTAGCCATTTAGAACATTGAGCATGGTAACTTTGTTTTATTTGAGTAATGCTGACTTTCTTGAGAAGTGAGTTCAAATGCAGCTCTCGATTTTCAGACAGATATTTTAAGTTCTAACACAGCTATCAGTTTAGATTCTTCTTTCATCACTGAGTTAGTACAGACCTCCCCATGACCACATACCTGTTTAGCACATTTACCTGCTTTGCTAGTGAGATAAGGTATCTCCCTGGTATTTTTCTCTTTCTCTGACATTTTCACAAGCTATTTAACTATTTACCTGTGAAAGGGTTTCATTTCTTTTTTAATCATGACCCTAATTCAAGGCAACAAGTAACAAAGTTGATTTCAGCAAGGCATCCATTCTGGAAGATACTTTAAGAAAAATATAATAACATGGCTCAGAGTTGCACTTGAGATATTGAGAAGTGGTACTTTTTCCTCAAGCCAGGCTAACATTAACTTTGCTGTTAGATAAGAAAGAAAGTAACTAAACTGGTATAGACAAAACATCCTTAGCATCTTTATTATGAAAAATAAATACAAAATGAGCTTAGATTGAAGAAGTAGGGAGTATGTTTAATGAGTTTGACTTCTAAGCAAATGAAGCTTGTTAACTATGAAGAAGTATTAACAGATCCAGATTTGTGGAATGGGTGGGATTATAGTTATTATGTGTGTCTAAAATCAGAAAGCCGCCAGACCATAGGAACATGCCACCTAAGCCTTACTTTGTCACAACTTCAAACTGGCTTCTTAAGAATTTCAGAATAAGTGAAGTCGTAAATCTCATTGTCTATCCTTTATTTGTTGTGTTCTTCATCTCCTTACCCTCCCAATTAGCTCACCTGGAGGTAAGTTAGAAGAACATCTGTATCAGTGTAGGATGGCTCCATATATTAACAAGATATTTTCTAATAGTTCTAGGAAAGATCCTTTAATCCCTGAAGAAAAAAGAAGGAACATACAAAATTATAACAGGAAGGAATTAGGAAAATATATGGATCACAAACATTATGAAACAAAAGAGTATTCTCAGAGGAGTTCACTACATTTCCTGAAATAATATAAAGAAAGAGGTAGTTGGCCTTTTTTCCTGGAAATTGTTGAGCTGAAGGTAGTCCTGTCCAGAAGCAGGCAAGCACAGTAAGGGGACTGCGGCTCAAAGATCGTCTTAGAACAGAGAGATAAGGAAACTTCAGTTTGTGATGGTGGAGGTCAGAAGAACTAAGAATGACGTCCTTTCCCTTCAAATTATTCCAGTGGAGCCCATTTTGATTTTCTTAAAAAAAGGAGTCTTTTTCTATCTTTGATGTTTTGGAGGGCATTTAAGTTTCCACTGTGGCCATATCATCACTCTGCCCCGTAACCACTGCAGATGCAAGTACAGGCCAGCACAGTGAGCTGCTTTCACTAGTGCTACTGTGATGGCGGGTTTGGAGTTTACTCTTTCAGCCATAGAATGAGTGAGTTTACTGTTGGCTCAGAAAGAAGCTGGTGGCGTACACCCAGCCTCATCTGAATGTGGGCTCCGCCACCATGACGTGGTTTTCAGAAGGATGTCACGAGACATGTGTAAAAGTTGTGATGAGCCTAATATGTACTGCAGCCTGATACCTGCTGGTGTGTGCCCTTCACACACTTATGACCTCCTCCCTTAAGAACATAAAGGACTTTTTCAGGTGAACCGTAGGACAGAGAGCTGTGGATTTTCCCTTTGGTTAAGCTAGCCAAAGACGAGAAGCACACAGAAGGCTCTTGTCTCATAGGGTTTTGCCATAAACATTACTCGCTTCCTTCTAGGTTGGAGGCGAGGGCCAGGGAGGGAACCGAAAACAAAACTATTATCATTACTAGCCTATTTTCTCTTATTCATTTATTCAAAAAATTTTTAATTTTTTAAGGGAATTTTATAAATGTCATTGATAGCAGCAACTCAGTTACTTTATTTAAATGTAAATTCTTTCTCATTTTAGCTAGTTCCTCTCATTCAAAAAAAGCAACTGGCTCCAAACCATCCACTTCACCATCGACTTCATCCACCTCATCTCGTCCCAAAGCTTCAAAGGAGACAGTTTCTAGCAAAACAGGGACCGTGGGAACCACAAAGGGCAAGAAAAAAACTGGCAAGCAGCCAGCCTCTCGACCTTCCTCAGACACAGCCACCTCCGGTACGTCCGATCTTAAAGGGGATCCTTCAGAGACCAGAGCGGAGAGTCTCAAACCCGAGCAGGCTGTCCCTGGGACCGAGGAGCAGACCACAGGCAAATCCAAGTCCGTGGTCCCTCCGCCCCCCTTGGCTCCACCGCCACTTCCCCCTGGCCCTTCTCTTTCCCCTGAGGATCAGTGCGTTACTCCCTCAGACACCCCCGTCGTCCTGGTCAGCAGTGGGGCTGACCTGCCTGCCTCTGCCTCAGATGCAAGTCAGCTTCTCTGGACTGAAGAGCCGACCAGCAAAACCACTCACCACTCAGGCACTGGCTTAAGTGTCAGCGGAGAAAATGACACATGGTGAGTCGGGGACACAAACCCCGTAATCCAACTGCATTCCCTATGAAGCTGAGTACCAAAGTTCACTAAGCCAGTCCGTTTGAAATGCAGGGGTCGCATTGGTTTTCCTTTGTTATTTAACCCAGTGAACGTTATTACTGTGAGCTCAGGTGTAATCCAACGGCTTGTTTTCCAAAGTGTGCCCCAGGAATGGGCTTCTGGAGAAAATGACCTTGGTAATGCTGAGAAACACCACGTTCGAGCTGTTGTTTCCAAAGACATTTAGAACCTACTTCACATGGCTCAGTGGTCTTTTTCTTGTCCCTAGCCAGTCCCCAAAAAGCTCTGGTGAGGTAGTGCCTAAGGCACTCGACTGCTAACCAGAAGGCTGGCAGTTCAAACCCACCAGCCACTTCTCGGAAGGAAGACTGGGCAATCTACTTCCATAAAGATTCACCACCTGAAAAACACAAGGTGGGTCGCTATGAGTCAGAATCCACTCGATGGTAGTAAGTTTGGTTTGGTTTAGCCAGTTCCCCTCTCTTTCCTGACCCTGGTTATTTCAGAGCCATTCCATGTGTGTCCTGATGGCTTTCCCATGCCTGCCCACCTTCATTTCAACAAGTTACTTCCCTTTCACCTTCTCCAGGAAAATAAATGAAGGCCACCAGGAAAGAACTCTTTCAAATGCCACCTCCTTTTTCTCTCCAGCCTTAAAGTGTCTCCCTTTCTTGCTGCTTCAGTTCCCAACCAGATCAAATGTCACCTCTTCTGTGAAGCCTCCCAACACTCATCTAGGCAGAACTGGTTATTGTGCAGACAGCCCTTGTGTTCTACCTGTGGGTCTGGACTCACCCGTGTGTCTTATTTGCTTCTAAGCATTTAGCACCCCAAGGGAGCAGTGGTGGCTCTGTGGCAGGTTTCTCACCTTCCAGGTCAGGGACCCAGCTTCAGTTCCTCACCAGTGCATCTCATACGTAGTCACTACCCATCTGTCGGTGGGGGCTTGAATGTTGCTATGATACTGAACAGATTTCAGCAGACTAGGAAGAAAAGTCTGGTGACTTACTTGCAAAGATCAGTCAGTCACTGAATGCCCTGTGGATGGCAACAATCTGATCCATAGCCAATCATGAGGATGGCACAGGCCCAGCAGTGTTTCATTCCTCCATGCATGAGGGGCCGACTCAGTGGCAGCTACCAGCAGCATCTGGGAACCATTACAGAATCTGGTATGCCACGGCCACTTAAGAAATATAAAGTGAGCTAAGGAGGTTATAGGAAAAGTCAGCAAATTTCAATACAATGGAAGCAGTATTATAAACACAACAACCCTGCTCCTGGATTTTATAAATAGAATATAATGTAAAGTCAAACATAGTGGCCAAGTGGTCTTGGTTTTGTCTGAGAACAAAGCCAAATGAAATGGGTCAAGGAATTTGATGTTACCCGTGGTGGCCCCACCATTGTCCCCATACCCATGCCAGGAACCTGGGATTCATTCTAGAGTCTCAGTCTCCTCCATTCCCTGCAGCCAGTTCCCCTCTCTTTCCTGACCATGGTTATTTCAGAGCCATTCCACGTATATCCTGATGGCTTACAAATTTTCTACTTAACAAAGACCTCACAAAGTCTTACAAATTTTCTACTTACAGGTAAGTAAGACGTATTAGCTCTCCTGTCCCACATTGTGAAGGGGGCCTGTTGGAGTACAGTAGATGTAATAACCAAGTTTATCTAGAGAAGTTTTGAAGCTTTCAAATTTAGCCTCTTCTCACTACTACTTATTAATAAATAAGTAAAGTCATTTAATTAGTTCTCTTTGAAAAAAAAAAAAACAACTTTGTCTTGTATAATAACTTAGCTGATTTTGGTCAAGAATAAAACATTATCAAATTTAATTATTTAATGACTGGCATGGAATATTTAACAGGAATTAAGCACTGTTTATATGTTGTCATTTAATTCACGTAGTCTTCTCTAAAGAAGTTACTGTATTTATCCCTGTCTATAGATGAACAAGGGAGCTCTGGTGGCATAGTACCTCTTAGGCATTTGACTGCTAACCAGAAGGCAGTCAAATGCCTTAGGCCACTCCTCAGAAGGAAGGTTGGGCAATCTATTTCCGTAGTGATACCACCTTGGAAACCCAAGGATGGGTCGCTATGAGTCGAATCCGACTCAACAGCAGTGAGTTTTGTTTTGTTTTGTTTTTTTGTAGATGAACAAACTTATGCTGAGAGAGGTCAAATAATTTGCCCAAGATTACCCAGTTAGTAAGTGGCAATACCACCAGATTTCATGTTTGAATAATTTTATAAGTTTCCCAAAGCAGTTGCTTCTACCTCTTTTATTTATTTATTTATTAGGACCATCATTTGAAAGAAAACAGTGGAAAGATAAATAAATGAAAATCAAATTATAAGACATTGAAGTTCAACATTTTAATAAAAGATATGGTAAAAGAAGATATTGAAATAAATGGTTGTGGTGACCTTAATACTTCTGGCACATTGCAGATGTCTTCATTTAATGACAGTGAACATGTTGCAGCATCACTGTCACAATCAACCTTTAGAACTGAATATTTATTTTTTCAGCATATATATTTTGCTTACCTTTGTGCCAAGTAGTGTACTAAGCACCAAGGATACAAAAATGAGAAAGCAAGGGTAGTTGAGAGTTGTTTATACCAAAATATTCTCCAAGGTGCCCAACGGGCTGAAATAAGAAAGCCAAGTCATGAGCTGATTGGGTACGTTTGAGATATATGTGTTTAAAATAAGGAGATCTGGTGGCACAGTGGTTAAAGTTTTGGCTGCTAACCAAAAGGTCAGCAGTTTGAACCACCAGCCACTCCACTGGTGAAAGATGAGGCAGTCTGCTTCTGTGAAGATTTGCAGCCTTAGAAACCCTACTGAGAAGTTCTGCTCTGTCCTGTAGGGTCAATATGAGTCAGAATTGACTCAATTGCAGGGGGTTTGGTTTTGGTTTGGTGTTTTAAAAGGTCTAGATTTAAGGGAATAGGGTCCTTACATGGTTTATTGTTCAGAATACTAAAGAGTGAGGTGTAAAGTGCTTCCTTAGATAAAGTCTTAAGCACTGACATCCAAAGGTGACTTGATGGGTCCAGTTCATCTCCACAAATAATTATGGAGCACACTGCATCCCATTGCCATGGAGTCAATTCCAACTCATAGCAACCCCATAAGACAGAGTAGAACTGCCCCATAGCATTTCCAAGGCTTTAAAACTTTACGGGAAGCAGATTGACACATCTTTCTCCTGTGGAGATGGATTTGAACTGCTGATCTTTTGGTTACCAGCCAAGCACTTTAACCTGTATGCCACCAGGGCTTCTCCATGCTACGTGCTGGGGGCTTAACTGCACACAGTCTTCAGCAAGTGTGTCAGACCAAAGAGGTGAGCACCTGCTCTCCAGTTCCACAGACTGTGATCACAGGAAACAAGCTTAGGAACATCGTTAGACAGTGAAGATATGGTAAGAAATTTTCCTGTCAGTCATGGTGACTATAATGCTTTCCTAGAAGAGATCAGCGACATGTTTTTCTCCGTATATTCTTCAACATAGAAATTTAAATTACGTTTCATCCCACAGGAGTGGCTTGTGTTTGCTCTTGAATGAATAAGCCTGGAATAAGTAGTCCCTCAAATTTTCCTCCAAATGCTTTTCCTCTTTAAGTGGGTATTTGAATTAGAATTTCTGGATCTTAGTCACTTGCTTTACTTAGGGCTCTCCCTTAGTTATATTTACTCAACTGATGTGTGAAAATCTTGTTATTGTAGAAAGAGGCTTCTGTTTGGAATACAAATATCAAACTTTAAAAAGGTTAAGTGACTATGTGTTAAAATACCTATGTCCATTCCCCTATCACAAAGCAGTAACTATTTGGTAGATTTCTCTTCATTGGCAACTTCAGCAATAACATAGGGATCTGATATATCAAGGCAGACAGAAACTAATAAGTACCTATTAAATCCATATTTAATAGAAGCGTTAAGAATCTGAAGTCTAGGTTCTAGATTAGATTTACCAGTATCTCAGGCAACTCCCATGGCCTTCCTCAGTTCCGTGAACCATAAATTGTCTGCTTTCCTTATACTGTTGTTGTTGTTCACTGTTGCCAAATTGGCGCACACTCATGGTGACACCATGAGTCCTGGTCCTGCACCATCCTCATGATGGTTGGGGATTTGGCCATTGTGACTCATAGGGTTTTCATTGGCTGATTTTTGGAAGCAGATAGCCAGGATTTTCTTCCTAGTCTATTTTAGTCTGGATCTACCATTGCAACCCTTTTAGCATCATAGCAAAAAGAAGCCTGGATAGGCAGATGGTAGTTGGCAATTAAATTGGCAATTAACTAAAAATCCACACTGTGGAAATGTTTTCCCATGAAAATAGATCTGCTCTTATTGAAAATAAAATTTCATATTTCCTTCTTAGAGAGCAAGAATGTAGGCCATTGGGTTTTCCTAATAAGTGAAAAAGAGAGAATTTTTAGAGCACCTAGCTTATAATTACAAAGTACCATTTTTAATACCTCATATTCTGACAAAGTTTGCCAATTTTATTATTCAACAAACTTTTTGTGAGCTTTTGGATAGTGAGAACAGCAAGCACATATTTTACACTAAATAGTCTTTCAGAAGTGTGACATCCAAATTTGAATTCTTCTGTAAATATCAGAAAACAGTTTTCTGTATCTTAAAATGAAGATTATATTATTTCACATATGTTTTTGGTGGAAAGTGTATTTTTTAGTCTAGTCTTCAAAAATTGGCAAACTGTATCATTCATGGTAACTTCCTTAACCAGAAACTCTTACCAAGTAAAACAGAAAATTGTTGCACCCTTACACATCACTTTTCTTCTAAAGAGTTCATTTAGCTTTCACACTTCCCATCTTATGATATTCATCTAGTCCAGTGAGAGGGAGTGTTCTGGTTACCTAGTGCCACTCTGACAAGAATATGCCACAAGTGGAATGGCCTTAACAAACAGTTGATTCTCTTACAGTTCAGGAGGCTAGAAGTCCAAGTTCAAAGTGCCAGCCTCTAGGAGCTGTATGAAAGCCCCTTGACCTTGGGCTTCAGCTCTGACTCTTATTCCTGGCCAACTGAAGCTAGAGGTACCTCTTCACTCAAGCAGCTACCGGCTGCTGAGGCTAACAAGCCCAAGGTCAACAAATAAATGGCACAGTCTCGATATTACTGAACAACACTACAGGCCACTGATTCAAGTCCATTAAAAGTCCCAAGGTCAGCAGAGCATGGCAGGCTGCTGAACGACGACTCAGCTACCCATCTATCAGTTTGTCATACTTTAGTGGCTTATGTATTGCTGTGCTGCTGGGGGCTATGTCACATACCAGCAAGGTCACCCATGGGTGGACATGTTTCATCAGAGCTTCTAGACTGAGAGGACCAGAAAGAAAGAGCTGGCAATCTGCTTCCAAAATGCAGCCAGTATAGTACAGGCTCAGACACACCAGTGACCATGAGCACAGCACATAACCAAGCAACATGTCCTCCTATCATACACGATGTCACCTGAGTCAGAGCCAACTCAGCAGCAACTGATAACAATGGGGATTGAGAAGAGAGGCAAGTCATGGGTGATTGAGGTGCAGCCTGCCAAGTGCTCTGATATGGGGTTGTCTTTGGGTCGCCATGAGAGCAGAGAAGAGAGACAAGGAACTAGACTGAAGATCATTAAAGTGTTCTTGAAGGAGCTGGAGCTTTCCCTGAGACTTGAAGGAAATGAGGAGTTATAGATGCAGACGAAGTTCAAATATTAAAAAGCTTCTAGCCCATTATTCTTTCCACTGAACCCACATGGCTATGAAAAAAATAAATTTTCCTATATAGTTTGCCACATTCATGTATGAAATATATGATTAGACACTATTTAGTCAAACCCCTTCATTTGACAGAAGGAAATTCTAAAATATTGAAGATTAAATAATACAGCATTGTTCTTCCATTTCAGAGACTTTAACTGGCCTGTGCGTGGCTTCAGCTGTCCCCAGCCTGAAGGATGCCCATGAAACCAGAGCTTCTTATGGCTTGGCATAGACCCTGAGGCTTGCTCTGAATTTCACATCACACCTATGTTTTTGTGCTTTTTACAGTTTCTCAACCAAAGACGAGCTGGGGAAGGCAGCACCTCAGTTCCTGATTCCTGGGCTGATGGGAGAATCTTCAGAATCCTTCAGTGCTCCAGAAGATGGAGGCCCACGGGAATACCAGGCCAATGATTCTGATTCTGATGGGCCTATCTTGTACACTGATGAGGACGAGGACGAGGACGAGGATGAGGATGACAGTGGAGAAAGTAAGACTTTTTTCAAAGGGTAAATAGGAGATTAGGTGGGACAGAAGAAGCAACTCAGTTCTAGACTCACTTCTGGGTTCTCGACTGGACTTATCACTTTGGGCACGTCCCATGATCTTCCTCAGCTCCATGAACCATATATTATCTGCTGTCATACTGTACAACAGCTGTAATTTGGAAATATATGCAAAACTCTTTGAACAAAAGCAGAGACCTGATGTTTTCTTTCCTCTTCCCTTAGTTTTTCAAATTAGAAATTTGAAATGAATATTCTAAGATTTAGCTTACAGGCCATTCTGGAAGATGATTCTACAGGGTGGGTCAAGTCTATGAGGCACATATGCATATTTACATTTGTACAAAGAATGAAAGCCCTCTAGTGATAAGAGGCCTTAGAGTCATCAAAGTTGGCCCTTCCACCTGGGATCATGCTTGAAAGAAGAGCCTCAATGCAGGATTCATTGGATTACGCATTGGAGGGGTTTGAGAGCGTCTTTCACTTTTATACTAGGGTTTAAAGAGAAGGGAAGGAGCCCTGGTGGCACAGTGGTTAAGTGCTTGTCTGCTCATTGAAAGGTCACTAGCAGCTCTGCAGAAGAAGAGACATGGCAGTCTGCTCTCATAAAGATTGGCAGCCTTGTAAACCCTATGAGGCAATTCAAGTCTGTCACCTAGGGTGACCATGAAATAGAATGGACTCAGTGTCCAATGACAAAGAGAAAGGAAATGAGTCAAGAATGACAAATACCTTTTAAAAATTAAAAACAAACCCTCATCCTCAATGAGTAAGATAGTGTACCTTCTGAGAAGTAATGATTGTAAAGTGGACAGAGCCACCCATTTACGTAGAGAACAGAATAGTGCCGTGTTCTGTTTTACAGTGCTTTTAGCTTCTGAGCAAGATAACTTGGGTAAGATTCTCTATGAGATTGAATTTATAGATGATGAAAAGTTATTAGTGATTTAACAACATTTTTTTCAAATTCCTTCTAGTTTGTACTGAGGAAAAAAAAAACCATTATCATCCATGTGCTATTAATGATCATCTGTTGACATTTTAGGAACTCCTGGGTAATTTAGGGCTAAAGCATTGGAATAAAATGTAGACTCTGCCAGTGTGGAAGATGAAAAGGATTTACTGTATAGTATAAGTAAGAGCATTCAGTTTCTAAAACTTGAAAGAAAAAGCCTTATGCAATCAGTAATTTCTATCATACATAGTCCATCTTGGCAAAATAAATTTCAGATATCACTTCCCAAATGATGAAGTGATAATTGCAAGCTTTTTCATTGTGCCCCAACATTTTTCAGAACATTTTTTTAAAATAGTTCTTCAGTCTTCTCAAAATGAACTACATCCAACCCAAAACTTTTTTCCTTAGGTTAATTAAAATTCCACTCCTGCATGTGGATAAAGAATGCAGTCAGAGCCTCTGTTAAAAGTCCCTGCCCTCTGTAACCTGAGTACCACTTCCTAAGCCTCTTTCTCTGCATTTCTGCCTTTTGCAATTGTCAGGTGCTTTGGCAAGTAAAATACGGCGAAGGGATACTCTTGCTATCAAACTTGGCAACAGACCATCTAAGAAAGAATTAGAAGACAAAAACATCTTGCAGCGTACATCTGAAGAAGAGAGACAGGAAATCCGACAACAAATTGGAACCAAGCTAGTAAGGTAATTACCAAAATGTAGAGCACTAATTCCTACTTTCCTCCTTCCTGCTCTTCCTTACCTAAGTGAAATCATTGTAGTTTCTTCATGCAAGGATACACTCAGCCTTGCTGGTCTTATAAAGTTGGCTTGGATGGTGAACTACTCAAAGAACCTGTGGTCTAACTCATCAGTGGCCTTCAGGTTGCCAAAGTCTAATCCAAGGATTAGTAAACATCTTCTGTAAAAGACCAGAGACCAGTTAGTAAATATTTTAGGCTTTGAAGATCAGACGGTCTCTGTTGCATCTTCTTAATTCTGCTGTTGTAGCATGAAAGCAGATATAGACAATACATAAACAAATGAACATGGTTGTGTGCCAATAAAACTTTATTTACCAAAACAGGCAGCAGGCTGAGTTTAGGCTGCTGACTCTTGGCCTAAACCATGATCTCACTAGCATGCTCATGATAGCTGTGAGAGTTTTGACTACAGAAATGTTAATTAGCACCCTGGCATGTCTCCATCTAAGCCAGGTAACCATTGCCCCGTATTTAAACTTCCCATTTTAACACAAATATATAGGTCATCTGACTTCTCTTCCTGCTTTCAGCCGTTGTGTACTGTTTCTGCTTTTGCCAGTAGTGACTTTGGAACCCACTTAGCTGTCCATAAACAATAAACAGTTGCCATCGAGTTGATTCCTGTTTCATGGTGACCCCGCTTGTGTCACAGCAGAACTCTGCTCTGTAGGGTTTTTGATGGTTGATTTTTCAGAAGTGGATTGCCAGGCTTTCTTCCAAGGCAGCTCTGGGTAGACTTGAACCTCCAGCCTTTCAAACCTGCTAATTTGCTTAGCAGCCACATATGTGAATCATTTGCACTACCTACAGACTAATTAACAACAAATTTTATTCATACTGATAATCTAATGTTCAACCACCAGTTTAGGGACATTTAAGTATCAGTTATTCTACTGCATTAAAAAATTAGACTGCATAAAAAAAATTATACTCTGCATTAAAAACACAGTGCATAGAGAATTGGGAGCCGTCTGGAGTACCAAGCAAGATTTGCAGGTGAGAAGAAATTCCTCTCCTTGCTTGGAAGTAGAAGACTCCTGTGGTTGTAGCGGTTCTAGAATCCATTGACAGTTTGTCCAGAGGGAGATAACACCTTCAGAGACTTTGTATGGCTGAAATCTGCAGAAAGTTATCTGAGACAGCAGCTCTGGCATCTGTCAAACAGAAAAGACTTCACCTAAATTGGCAAAATAAAATCTAGGAAAAGGCTGGTGGGTCCTGTCAGCTCCCAGACTCACCCAGAGCTCTGGAAGAAGTGGTCTCCTCTCTCACATCCTATTGCCTCTTCCATCTTTGACCACAAACTGCATCAGAAAAGTGCTCGCAGAAGTAACAGGAGCTCAAAGAATAGGGATTTCGAATGGCTCTTACCATTCTTAACATGTTATGTCATCTGACAGAGTGAAAACAAGGGGCAATAGTAGAGATCAGAGAGATTAAAGACATTTCCCGAGGATATGCAGTTACCTAGTTGCATAACTAGGACTAGAACTTCAGTTCCTGGGCTCTCAGCCAATCTTCTTTCTTTTATGTTGTCTCCTTTTATGCTGTCTCCTACTGATTCCAGTTCACAGTGACCCCACGTATACAGAGTAGAACTGCTCCATAGAGTTTTCAAAAACCCTTTCGAGAGCAGATCACTAGGCCTGTTTTCTGAGATGCCTCTGGTTGGGTTTGAATCACCAGCTTCTCGGTTAGCAGTTAACTGTGCCGCTCAGGGAATCCTAGTTTATTGTAATAAGGAATGAAAAAAAGCAAAGTATCATGTGCTAAGATGGCATGAAAGAAAATTTTTTATTTCTAAAATTCTTAACAATTTAGGAGCAGAGGTTTTGTTTGTTTATTTTCAAATCATACTAAATATTTTAGTGTATGGAGAAGCCCTAATGTTCTTTTGTTTTTGTAGAAGCAAGACAAAATTTCCCACTTTCATTATACTAAAATATCTGGTCACAATTGTTTGTAGTGAAAAAAAAGAACTAAATTATAGGAGAGATATACTGTTATTATACATGATTATTGTCTTAGTTTTCTAATGCTGCCATCACAGAACTACCATAAGTGGATGGCTTTCGCAACCAGAAATTTATTCTCTCACAGTTTGTTGTTGTTCATAGGTCCCATTGAGTCAGTACTGACACAAAGCAACCCTGTGTACAACAGAATGAAACAATGTCTGGTCTTGCACCATCCTCACAATCATTGCTATACACATTCAGGGCGCCAGCTCTAGGAAAAGACTTCCTCTTTTTATTGGCACTGGAAGAAGGTCTATTGTCTCCTTTCAACATCTGTGAGCTCGACGTTCATGGAAATCTCCATATGTCTTGGCATCAGTCTTCCCCTTGGTCTAGGAGGTTCTCAGCACAGAGAACTTGGGTCCAAAGGACACACTCCACTCTCAGTTCTTCTGTCTTGGTGATAGTAGGTCCCTCATCCTGTGATCATTCCTCTCTCCTTTTGTCTCTTTGCTAAAGGGGCAGGGAGGTGGCAATTATGACCTCCTCTCACTCCACAAGAGGAAGACAGTACAAGGCCTATTCTTATGAGGCCAGATATGCTGCCAGCCTCCAGCCCCCTTACCAACCATGACACCAATCATCCCTCCCACTGCAGTGGCCACACGGAACTCACAGATTATGGGGTTTATTAGGGAAACAAAAGGCTACAATTCAAGTTCAGGAACATGCTCAGTCTCTCTCAGCCAGCAGTCCCTCCCTCAGCAGCCTCTCCCTCAGCAGCATGTCTCTCTCAGCAGCGTGTCTCTCTCAGGTGCGTCTTTCTCAGCCAGCAGTCAGAGAGATTCCTGTCTGCCTCTAGGAGGACTCATTTTAAGCCTGACAGAGTGGCAAAACTAACCAATTCTAACATCAGAATTCTACAGATCTGAGAGAGAACACTTCCTACAAGATTATTTCATGGTGTTCTAACAGAAGTATACCAGGTGGATAACTTTAACAATCAGAATATACCACAAATGGGATGACTTTAAATTGTATCGTCTCACCCAGTAATGGGGTGGGAGTTACAAAGACTATGGCTAGAAAAGCCATACCATGTAATTTACTATACCGCGCTTTTGTAAGATAAAAGGTGATGCAAGCCACATCCCAGAGAAATTCTCCTTACATCACATCAAGGCTGTGACCTGAGTAAAGATTTTGTATGCCTTCCTAATCCCCTTACAGCTGATTGGTTAATCACATCAGATCATCATGGAGAATGATTATATTACATAACTGCCAAACCACGAGAATCATGGCCTAACCCAGTAGACACATAATTTTGGGACATAAAATTCAATCCATAACAACTATGCACCTAAAAAACTGAAAAACTGGCCAAATATCACTATCCCTAATAAATAATTTCAACAGGTTCACAAGATATAAGCGATTAGCCTAAAAAAATGAACATAATATGTTGGAGAGGGGGAATTACATTTGCAATAGTATCAAGAACTGTATGTTAAATATTCAACTGTTAATTCAATTTGAGATCCAAAAAATTCATTTCCAAAATTGAAGGACTATATGAATAAATAGAGAGCAGACATTTTTATCAATTAAAAAAATACATATAGCAGACAAGTTTATCAGATGTGTGGGTAGCAAGAAGCTTGAAGGATAATAGGTTACTTTACAAATCAGGACATCTAATGAATTCTATAAAATGAAACTAAGTGGATAAATACCAATTTCAATCTTAATAAAAAACAGCCACTGAGAACAGGATGAGGGACATGTGGCAGCAGGTTTAGAGATGTTTGAGATTCTAATAAGTATAATGAGAGTTAGCCCTGAAAGGTGGCTATTCAAAAAGTGAGAGCCCTCACTTGGTCCCATCTGTAAAATGGAGCTTATGAGGATTAAGTGAGATGATATGTTAAAGGCATTTTAATGCCTACTTCATAACAAGCGCTCGATAACATTGGTTTTATTATTAATTAAAATTATGAGGTATCTATTAAAATAGTAAAATATTTTTTACAAAAACTTAACCTAATGTTAACAGCTCTCTGAGAAAATGAGACCTATATACATTGCTCTTTTTTAGCATTTTCAAAGAACAATGATTAAGACAATAGCCACAATAACAACAACAACAAAAAAAAACCCTCACTGCCATTGAGTTAGATCTGACTCATAGCAACCCCTCCTTGGGTTTCCGAGGCACTATCACTATGGAAGTAGATTGCCCAACCTTCCTTCCAAGGAATAGCTGGTGGGTTTGAACCACCAGCCTTCTACATCACCAGAGCTCCCTATAGCCACAATAATGGACTTAAAATATATCAACAATTATGAAGATGCCACAGGACCAGGCGACATTTTATTCTTTTGTAGATAGACACTCCATGAGTCGATGCAGTGGCAACTATCAACACAATTTAATTATAAAGCAATCTATTTCTTTGCATGGCAATTTCATTTGGAAGATTATAAAAGAGCGAAATGATCCAAATTAGAGGAAAAATCTGTTTTACAGAGATGTTTGTTACTAGACTATTTATGTTGTTGCTGTTATGTGCTGTCGAGTCGGCCCCGACTCACAGCGACCCCTCCTTGGGTTTCCCAGGCAGTATCACTATGGAAGTAGATTGCCCAACCTTCCTTCCGAGGAGTGGCTGGGTATTTATAGTAATGACAAATTAAAACAAACCAAACGCTCAAAAGCAAGAGACTAATTAAGACCATTGTGAGAAGTTGACAGTGTGGAACACGGTAGAGCAGTGGTTTTCTGCTGCCTCATCTGGATTCTGTAGAGATGAAACACAGGCTATGGAGGGGAGAGCCAGAGAAGTACGGGGGTGACGTTTGGCATGGAGATGAGAGGAGACTACCCATCCCAAACCTAACCATCCCACTGGAGCAGCTCCTCTTTTGTCTTTGTTACATTTTGGAATTCCAACCTCCCCCAAAAAAATAAACCTCTGTAAGTATGCAGATTATCTAGAAAAAAAATAAAATAAAACTTTAACAGAGTAGAGTTGTTTTGTTTTGTTATGGTATATATACATAGGAGCTCTGGTGGCATAGTGCTTGAGGCACTTGACTGCTAACCAGAAGGCTGGTAGTTCAAACCCACCAGCCACTCCTCGAAAGGAAGGTTGGCAATCTACTTCCATAGTGATACTGCCTCAGAAACCCAAGGAGGGGTCGCTATGAGTCGGATCCGACTTGATGGCAGTGAGTTTTTTTGTGTGTGTGTCTTATTTATTTATATATATACATAGATAGATAGATATAGGTATATATATATTTACCAATTCAACAATTTTTACATGTACAATTCAGTGAAAATATGTCCATCATGTTGTACAACCATTATCACTATCCGTTTACAAATTCTTCCACCATCATTAACAGAAACTAAATGCCTCCTAAGTAATGATTCCCTTTTTCCCCCTCTTTCCAGTTCTTACCAACCACTAATAAACTTTGGTCTCTGTATGTCTTAGTTATCTAATGCTGCTATAACAGAAATAGCACAAGTAAGAGACCTTAACAAACAGAAATTTCTTTTTTGGTTTTGGTTTTGGTTTTTGTGGTTACAAAGTTTTATTTCTTTTTAATTTTTATTGTAATTTGGGTGAAAGTTTACAGAGCAAATTCATTTTCCATATAGCTCTTCATACACATTTTGTTTCATGACATTGACTGCAGTTCCCCACAATGTAACAACTCTCTTCCCACTTGCTCTCCGTAGTTACCTCTTCCCTTTGTCCTTCCCTCCCATGCACCACCCCACAGCTGTCTCCCTGTGCAAACACTGCCCTTCTATTCTCCCATGATTGATTGCTCCAAGGAGTATATCTACCTGATGTAAATGTTCACCCTTTATGTTTTTGTTACCTAGTGCCACTTGACAAGAATATACCACAAATGGGATGGCTTAACAAACAGGAATTTATTCTCTTACAGTTTGGATGCTTTAAGTCCGAGTTCAAAGTGCCAAGCTCTAGGGGCTGGGGGAAAGCCCCTCAACCTTGGGCTTCAGCTCTGCCTCCTGCTCCCAGTCCACTGAACCTAGAGGCTTTTCTTCACTCAGACAGCTGCTGACTGCTGAGACCGACAAGCCCAAGGTTGACAAGTAAAAAGACACAGTCCTGATATTACAAAGCCACACGGCAGGCCATTAATTCAAGTCCATTGAAAGTCCCAAGGTCAGCAGAGCATGGCAGGCTGCTGAACAACGACACAGCTACATGCAGGATTCAAGCGGTCCATAAACTAGAGACCATTCCCCAAGGCTTCTCCAAATATACAGGAAGCAGATCACACCTCCTCAGCTCCTCAGCTGCTTACAGTAGATTCCACCATGGAGTTGTTCACCACTCTCATCGTGGAGAATCCAGCTGCCCAGCCACTCAACCAGGCCCAGCCAAGCTGACATGCAAAGTTAACCACCACACCATATGCCTGTCTGTTGTTTGGCTGGAAGCTACAGGAGTGAGTTCAGTTCCAGATCTGAAGGGTAGCTAGGAGCCATAGTCTCAGGAGTCTCAGCAGGCTTATCAGACCAGCAAACCTGGTCTTTTTTTTTTATGATTGTGAGTTTTGTTCCACATTAACAAATAGAAATTTCTCTATTACAGTTTAGGAAGCTAATATTCTGAATTCAAGGTTCTGAGTCCAAGGGAAGGCTTCCTCTCTCTGCTGGGTCTGGAGGAAGTTCCTTGTCTTTGAGTTTCTTCACTCCCATAATCTCCATGAGGCTTGGCATCTCTCTGCCCTGATCTCTGCTTCTCTCCTTTGTTTGTTTAATCTCTTTTATATCTCAACAAAAGATTAATTCAAAACATGCCCTACACCCTACCTACACTAACCCTGCCTCATTGAAAAAACAAAGAAAACCCATTCCCAAATGGGATTATAACCACAAGCATAGAGGCTAGGATTTGTACACATATTTTGTGGAGACACAACTTAATTGATATTCTGCCCTTTGACACCTCCCCCAAAATTCATGTCTTTGCTGCATACAAAATACGTTTCACCCCATCAC